ATATAACATGGCCTATTCTACGGTTAATTTTTTATTTGCGTTTTCACAAAATTCAACGTGGATTTGAGGTAATTTCGGGTAGAAACTACAAAATTGCGCGAATTTGTGTCACATTTACGATCATAAAATGATGCAAATATATGAAAAACCACGACGAGCGATAAGCAGAACTCAGAACAAAATGCTCTCACACACTCGTTAAACGGAAGCCGGTAAGCATCTATTGACGTTTCTTTCTAGACATGAAAGTAAAAAAATAATTGTCATTTCTGCTTGACAGAAATTTGTCTATTTTGTGCAATGAACGGAAAAATAAATTTACTGAAATTAATTCGCGAGCGGTCCATCTTAGCGTCTCAGCGGACCAAATTGCAAAATTCGGACCGCAAAGAGAAGCAATCAGAATTATCCTTTTCATCGCGTACCAGTTCAGCCATGTAATAAATATATGCTATTTATCAGCATTTTCAGTGCCTGAGGCCACGGGTTTTCACTATACTGGCCGACCATAACCGGTAAAAAACGTATTTATCGTACGGGCGTTACCGTGACCGTGGGCAGAAACACTGTAGGAAAATCCGGACCGCTCAAAGAACCAATTGATTGCAAGAATTTAAGTTACTTTGCCCTCTTGGGAAAAAAAAAATAGTCCGTGTACCCCAATTGGTGTACGCATTCTTTCAAACATTTCGGGTAATGTCTTCAACTGTCTGTGTCAGATATTAGTTTTAAACTTCGAAACTCGACGGCCAATTTTTAAGTAATTCGAGTGATTTCGGAAACGCAAAGCCGTGAAAGGACAACTGAGAGCGCACTGTACAAATTTGCTTGGAGCTCGATAGGAGTTTGTATCGATTTGAAATTCGATCGAAACTCTGAACACCGGTCTTGTCTTTTCCTCAGAAGAGTTTCAGCAAGCTTGAAACCTCACCTGGTATCCATTTCTTTACGTCATTTGAGCGATTTTGGTTTTAAACGGTCTGAGTAATTACCATTTAACCGAGCATGCATAGTACAACTCACAGGTATACCCACTAACCGCTTTAGCCGGTGGTTAGAATGGTTTACACGTTGAGCATTATTTTATCCACCATATAATGATCGTAAGGAAACTTTTTCGATGGCTCAAACAGTCAAGCAGGCCTTTTAACCGATAAATTTTAAACGGTTTCCAGTCGAAGTCAATGTTAATGAAACGTGAATAAATCAAAAATACATATATATATCAAGTCAGGAGAGATCGAAAGTCTAGAAAAGACTACGCTAATCTTTGCCCACGCGGAAAGGCCAAGGTATGAGTTTAACACTAAGTGTTTTGCAGGACATCCTGTACAGGAAATGCGGATGAAGGTGGCGGTTTTCTGTGTATTAAAGACATGGAAACAGGATACAAAGTTAAACCTTTATTTTTTTACTATCAACCTACTCAACAGGATCCTATGGAGTATATACCAACTCTAAAATTGGGTAACCTGTGGTTAAAACAGCGAAAGCTCTGGGGAAGAGTAACTGTCAAGCACAGTTTCGATCAAGTGTCTCCAAGACGTGCGACGGAATGTTGTGAAGGCGCTTAAACTAGGAAATGTTGAACCCATTAATTGATTTTAAGGATGTTTTACCTTTGAAGTATCCTCGGCTATGGATTTTTTCAAGCTTTGGTTCGTGTAGTGACCCAGACGTCTTGTTTTATTTCGCGGTTCCGGTAAGGTACGTACAGCAAACATGTCGGCTTTAGCTGTTATTGGGCTTCATAGAATCCAAGCTTAAATTTCGCGATATTGATTTAAGCTTATTCGATCAAAGTTTACTTTTCGTCTTTAGAAATCTAGTCCTCACTTGTTTTAAGCAAAAAGAATGGTTTGTCTGTAAACTACAGCTGACTACAGCTCTAAGACTTTGTAACCGTTCCCTACCGCAGCTGTACATGAACTGAAAGCTCGATATTGTGTTAAATTTACCACGGCTAAATCTGATAGCTTCTTAATCGGTAGGTTCATAATTGCGATTTTCGCTTAAATTCAACATATAACATCTCAATACTTCTTTGTGCTTAAAATCTCCAGACGAACTCTGCAATGTTGACCTGGGTTAGAGCTAGATATTACATGTAACTCAAACAACTGGCTACAGAAAGAAACTGCTTTTAAATAACAGGAATAGTCAGACAGAATTTAAACTCAACTTAGGGGGCTTAATCTTTTATACCAATGAAATATGCTTGCAATGTTCTACAGTGTAGAGCAAAACAAGTGAAATATTTCAAAATCAAAACAACCTCCAAGTGATATACATGTACAGTATTGTAAGACTTGTCTGTTCAAAGTAACTCAGTGGATATTGTCACGGGAAAATTATATTAACTGTTTGGGTTTTGTTTTGAGTACTAAAATCACTGTGAGATATTTGTCCGGTAATTAAGCTCTTGTTATAGTTTTTCATTTAACTGAAGTCCAGAACATATAATTTTAATAATTTATGAGTTTTCAAGGTGGAAATTGTAATTACAGGTAACAACAAAGTCAATCTTCTAAAAAACAATTGACAATAATGTATGCAACATTATGCAGGTAGCATTCTCTATTTAAACAATGCTTGATGCAATCAGCATGTTGTATAATAAAGAAGAGCTAAGCTTTTCTGTTGCTTTCATTTCTCTGCAGACTATGAGTTACTATCCATGGACGGAAGTCTTGCAAGGGCTTTATACACTTTTCAGTCTGACAATCCCAATGAACTCTCTGTTTCGGAGGGAAGCATCATAAAGATTACACAGTATATTGACAAGCATTGGTTGGAAGCCAGTTATCAAGGAAAAACAGGCCTGTTTCCTGTTACCTATGCTGAGAGGATAAAAAATGAACCACAGTTTCAAAAGGATTCCCATATCATGCCTTCTCATTATGAGGGATTGCATAAAAACTTACTGTCCAATTGGCAGCCTGGTGAAAGCTGTGAATTGTCTAGAAATGATAATTCCTTAGCCCAACACAGTCCTAGTAATGATGCATATTTTGTGGAGACTGCCTTTGCTTTTTCTGGTAGAAATGACAGTGAGCTTACATTTCCTTCTGGAGCACTGATAGAGGTAACGAAAGATGTCGATGAAGACTGGCTGGAAGGGTCATTCAATGGCAGGACAGGGCTATTTCCCAAGAGTTATCTGAAGTCTTCTGAGAGACCATGTGCCCGTGCTGTATACCCCTTTGTTGGAGAAAGTGCGGGAGAGTTGACTTTTCGTGAGGGTGACTGTATCTTTCTCCGGAGGCGTTTGAATTCGCAATGGATGGAAGGAGAAATTAATGGCACTGTGGGGCTTTTCCCGTCTAGCTTTGTTGCTGTTGAGGTTGAATTGCCATCAGAACAAAATGCATTTGCAAATGGAGATTTTAGTTTTGTGGACTCTCCTCCTAAACATGGAGCCCAGAATAGCTGTGTTGCACCAAAAGTAAAATGGAAAAGAGGTATGAAGGGGAAGGCACTGTTTCATTTTACGGCATTATATTCAGGAGATCTGGAGTTGAATGCAGGAGATGTTGTAACTGTCCTTGAAGTTGATGATGATAACTGGATCGAGGGTCGGTTAGCTAGTGGAATACGTGGGTCATGCCCTGCGGCATATCTGGAACCTCTATTTGATATGAGCCAACAATTTGAAAGTAGACCACTGAAGTCTAGTGCTCAACGACTTGCATTAGATGGAAGTTTTTCTGGTATTTTTGACGACCCTGGCTACATAAACATATCACAAATGCGTAGCTCTGCTCAGCAGACTAGTGACTTTGTTGACTCTTACTCAGTGAAAGGTGATACCAACAAATCTCTTTTAGACTCTTCATTCACACAGGATCCAACACCTGCAATTATTGCACTGCCATCTGACATGGCCACAACTCAAAAAAACACTCCAGGAACTAAACCGTTGCTTACACCAAAGCCAGGACCAACAAGTAAAAAGCAGTCACCAAGTTATTCAGTGAGATACCTAGGGGGTGAGGAACACTCTGCACCCAAAAGTTCCCAAACCGCTCTTAGTCCTTCGATTTCCGTCCAATCACTACCTTGTGGAAGTGCCTCTAGTTCAAATACTCTAGTTTCTGTACAATCTGAGACACCAAGTAAACGCTTTCAACAGCCGCGATATTTTAAGGACTCCACTGGAACTTGGCCAGGTAAAAGAGCAGGGATCCATGGACATGTAAATGATGAAAATAAAAACAAAAGGAACCTTATTGATGACGATGATTTGTTATCGGGCAACTGCACGTCTCTGCCGACTCCATTGGTTCCACTTCCTCAAGCAAGGATAGATGATAGAAGTAGTGAATCAAGTGCATCAGAAGATTCTCCAATCACACCCAGGCGACCAGCACCCCCACCCCCTAAACGGGACAGCAGCAGCAAGAATCAGCATGTCCGCAGCCAAACTCTTCCTGGAACGAGATCAAAGGATCTTGTACAAGGTGACTTTAGTAGGGATGTACATGTTTCAATATCAAAAGCAAAGGATCACCAACAGTTGGACGTGAAAGACGTGAAACAGAATGGGGCGCCACATTCTCTGCGCCCAATAGACAGTAAAATGGATTCTTCTCAGTCTCCTAAGTGGTCACCTAAGACAAGGGCTGGCGATCATGATGGCCCAAAATCAAAACCTCTTTCTAGACCACGTTCTGTGCATTGGAAAGACAAGGATTCTCTTAATGCAGTGGACAAGGTAACCAGCTTCATAATGATAAGTCCACTGCAAAAATTTGTGGATTATTTTACATGTAGCTGATAAGGCATGAACTTGTGCACCTATTGGGCGAGCAATATTTTAGTGGGGGCAGTTGAAAACTGAAATGTACTGGTGCGCTGGGCAACTGGATTTCAATTTTGTTTTCCTGCCCTGCCGTTGGAAAGTGCGGATTTGCCAGGGAGCTAAACATGCCGTGTAGACATTAGAGAACTACTTTATTTGTGCTTTTAATCTGATGGAACTCAAACCTTGCAACATGATAGACAATCCAAATCCAAAGAAAGGTGTACTTTTTTTGTTTTCTTTTATTCAAATTGATTCTAGCGGGAAAATGAAGTCATCAAACTAACAGCAAAATTTTATTTTCACTTTCTGTCTAAACTAATGCATGATGATAATTTTGAAAGAATAAAATTAATAGGTATATGCTGAGATGAATTCAATTGTGAAGAAATATTTTTGAAGGGTTTTATTATACATGCAATTACATGTTGAAATTTGCCAAATTTCTAAAACCAGTACTGTAACAAACTGGCAGAAAGTTCAAAATTCAAATATTCGACATATCTATTCAATTTATAGAACTATTTTTTTTTTCATATTTGAATTTATCTCAATATATCCTTTCAAAATCATACATTAGCGTAGTCCGGAAGTGAAAAGAAAATTCTCTTGTTACATGTACATGTACATGTAGTTTGGTGTCATCATTTTCCCATGAAAGGCCCTTAGAATAAAATAAAACAAAAATACTGTACGTTTGTTTTTGGATTTTTGAATTGTCAATCCTGTTGCTAAGTTTGAGTTCCATTGGATCAAGAACACAAAAGAAGTTCCCTAATTTCTGTTTCTGATGGACAGCTGACTCTGCATGTAAGCATAACTTGATGATTCTGAGAGTGGATGGCAACTGGAAGACTTGTTGGTTTGTGGGTGAATTACTTTCAACAGCAGCAAAGTTCACTCATAGCAAGCATGCTCAGCTGTGGTGTCGCAAATTA